ATTAGTATATATTTATTAATTACCTGACCACCGACCTAAGAGACTTTCTTGGTGGCTGCACATTATGCCCCATATCCTCAACGCATTGACAGTGACAGCAACACGATCTAGGTCTTCTATTCATTAACGGCGCTTTAGGACCAAGAGCTTGGCACAACGCACCCCTCCATAATCTCTCAAAAATAACCCTCTCGTCTACAGGTAATCGATGTATATTTTTGTTGACCCCGTAATCAATCGGCAGACGGCCTTCTAGATTCAATCTGTTCCTCGGATGATTATTGTAAAACATTTTCTATATAACGTATATTTGCGGTTTTAGTGGAAGCTACGGATTACTATCACACGACGTTTAATAAAATTCGACTTAGCTACGAAATCCTTACGAACTAACGGAAGACTTGGTTTGGCGTGAAGATATTAAAGGAACTTCAGCGAACGTTGGAAGACATTTGTGATTTTGAGTTTTTGATTTATTACGGATTACATTTTTCGATAAAATCGCACCGTAAAACGCGGACCCGTGCCACGTCAGGCATTTTGCTTTTGAAACAAACGTGACAGGGAGCGCAGAGGGGCGAAGAGGGAGAGAACGGGAGTTGATACGCGCAGCATCCGCCGGATTCACGCTGGAATCGATTTAAAATTGCCAAGAACAACTTCTTGTCAAGCTTAGAAGGGGATAAATACAGTTTAAAATTGAGGACTTACATCCAACTCTTTTTTTCGTGTCGAAGGGATCAAAACTATTTTATAAAAAGCAATAAAAATTAATTTAACAAAGAGATTTGATTAATATTCTAATTATATTAGACATATAAATGTTTTACATTTAATAAGTTTAAAAAAATACATTTTTTCTTAAAACTAGATGGCAGATTTTTGAAATAAGGATTTAAATTTTTAAACTAATATTTTTGTTTCATATTCCACATCTTCAATATCTGGATTATACAGAAATATAATAAGTCTCCCGTAAATACTCTTTTAAAGGTCGTAGTCGGCCTAGGTACCAAAACTAGGTACATCTAGTTATACCAGAGCCGTCGGTATATTAGGCCAATTTAACCAAAAACACTACGCTTCAACCGTCTATTATACTCAGATGCAAAAAAACGAAACGTATTATTTATAAGGAAAAATTTGCAGTCAAATTTAAAGTGTCATATTTTTTTATATTTTAGCCCTATTTTCATGCATTTTTAGAACACTGTATATAAATATATCAACTTTAATTCGTAAGCTCAGTTTTTTTTATAAATTTTAGTACCTATTTGGCTTATTATAAAGGGTAAATCAAAGGATTGTTTTTTATCCTAAATTTAAAACATCTTGTGCAATAATTTCGTAAGCATTTTTTTCTAAAACATTGAAATGTAAAACATTTCGATCAGAGCCATGTCTTCTGAGCATTTTTTTTTGACTATGTCAATACATAGTGGCCGGCCGTAGCTCCAGCGTTAGTTTGTCGATCTGCGGGGTGGAAGGTACTGGGTTTGATTCCCAGCCAGTACGGTAGCTTTATTTATTTAAATAAAAATAATTATTTAACTAAATAGAGCGACCAACGAACCACCTCCTCAAGGAAGGCAATGGCAAACCACCTTGAGTATATTTGCCTTGTACAGCCCCTCAAATAGTGCCGTTAGGATTCGGCGATAAACTGTAGGTCCCGTGTACTTGTGAAACACTGATGACTGATGACACACATCACAAGTACATGCGAGAGGTAGCCGACGCTCTATACCGGGTGCGTCTCAAAAGTGGCTCACCCCTATAACTTTTTTATTTTTTGAGATAAAACAACGAGATTTGGTATGTTAATATATGACATAAATTGGAATTGATTGACGTATTCAATTGTTTTCGGTCACTTCCGGTTTTACCGGAAATGACTACAATTTTTGATTTTTAAATGGCACCCTCGGTATTTTTTTACTTTATTCGATAGAAAATGACGCTCTGAATCGAATGACATATCATATGTCAATTTTTGACACAGTCACTCAAAAACAAATTCTATTTTAAATTTCAATCTAGAGTGTCATGGCTGTGTTAAAAACATTAATTTTTAATCAAGGAGCCTTGGAAAAATACATTTGATCATTTAATGTTTTTAGTGCCTGGTCCTGGTCAGTTAAAAGATGCCCAAATCGTATTTTTAATCATATCTCAATTTTTTCAAATGGAACGAAGGTGGCTCATTAGCATATTTAGAAAAAGCATTTTTTTACGAATAATTTGATACCACACACTTGGTATTTTGAGTCAAATTGTCGTTATGAACCGCATGTTACAATTTCAAATAAACCATATGCCAAAATGTCAAAAGTTGACATATGATATGTCATTCAATTCAGAGTGTCATTTTCTATCGAATAAAGTAAAAAAATGCCGAGGGTGCCATTTAAAAATCAGAAGTTGTATTAATTTCCGGTGAAACCGGAATTGACCGAATACAATTGACTCAATCAATTAATTTTAAATTTATGTCATATACTAACATACCAAATATCGTTGTTTTATCTGAAAAAAAAATAAAAAAGTTATAGGGGTGAGCCACTTTTGAGACGCACCCGGTATAGAGTATAGCAATTTAAGAAAATGTCAATATATGCCTTTGTTAATTTTTAAAAGCGAAATGAACTTTTGAACAATTGTAATTTTTTCAATTATCATTTCTTTTTGATGTTATTTTTCGATATTACGAGGTGACTTTGGTTATTATTGTGAACTATATACTACTAAAAACTGCCCAGCATGTTCGACAGATGTGAACCCCATAGAACAGGTTTGGGAAATACTTGGCATGAGGGTTAGAGGCTAGGGGTTTCTTACTTGGATAAAAAATGTACATGTACTGCCAAAATATCATTTTAGTGTGAAGTGACTGCCAATGACTGCGAAGAAGACTGCCTATGACTGCCATTTAATTATTATAGGTGACTGCCGTATAACCAGGTATAACTGCCATGAAAATGTACATGTAATTCCAATAGTTAGACACCCCTCGGTTAGAGGTCACGAAGTGGCACCAGCTTCATTAAATAATTTGACTTGGTTCTTAAAGAAGAAGAAAACATAAGTATGAACGGACGTCTATACAGGCAGTTATAACAGCCAAGGGAGGCATTTTTTTTAAATAATAAGTTCCTGAATTTGAAGGGAATTCTAACATTTTCAAACTCACTGTACAACAATAATGAGCAATTTCATTCTAGCAAATCTGGGAACAGTAAGTGATATCCTGTCTTCCTTTGTGATCACGTCTCGCTGTGATCTCTATCGCAATAGCTGTTATCACAATAGCCTGGATTAGATATCTTTATTGTCATGGATGAAATTCAAAGTCGTGATCACGTCACCTTATTAAATCACTGATATTAAAAAAAATCACGCTAACAACGTGGTTTGAAAATCACGGTACTGGGCATCTCTAATTAGAACATTATTAGTTACATTAAAACAAAAATTATTATATTGGAAAAAACTAGTCTCAATATATATTTCAGCATACCCAGTTCCACACTGTCTGTGTATAATCGGAAACTGAAAACTTTCTTGGCTACGTAAATTAATAGACATTAGAGAACAACGGCACAGCCTACAAACACGTAAACGTTTACGTACGCATGCGCATTTATTATATTTTTACACGTGAAAGATTGTTTACGTCTACGTATACGTGCCAGCAGCGGCCGATTCGACCGTAGGCCGTTGTTCTCTATTAAAGTACCCGAATATTCGCTGTGTTTGTTCACGATAGCATCATTTGTAGCATCAAAATTTTGCAGTGGAAACGCAATTGTTAGTTTTTCATTATTTCAAAAGCGTTGATTTGAATTCGTGTGATTTTAATACGAATAAATAGAAAATGACGCAAATATTTTTTATAATAATGAATGAAAATATTCGCTATTTAAAAGTGATATGAATGTACCCAAAAGCAAATATTTGTGACTTAGTGTTCAAAAACTAAAACTGAAGTAACACCAGAACACCTGAGTGCGCCGAGACGACAACCATTCGTGCCATATAGTGCCTTACACTATCTGCCAAATAAATCCAAGGGCATAAACATTCTGTTCTTTTGCATATAAAATTGAAAGCTGCTTATTTAATTAGTCCTTGTGTGAAAAATTAACTAATGCTTACAAATGCTTAGTTGTTTAATAGGATAAAAATACAAGTGATGTCATGTGCAATACTAAATACAAATGTTGAAAATATTAATACTTTAGCTACAAAATTGTCGAACATTTATTAAAAAAATATATTCACAATTTCTAATAAATCAGGATTATTGTGTAAAGCGATAGAAAAATGAATTTTACAAAATCAACTGGACACCAGAATAGAATAGGGATATATATTAATTAGTACAGGATATGAAAATAATGTTCATACAGACTAAAGAATACAAGGACCAATAACACCAGGCACAAAATTGTTACCAGTTGTTACCAAAACAATTTTACGAGTGTCGGCCAGAGGATTAACATTAAAACTGCAAAATTAAACAACCAATTAAGAAAATGTTAATATTTTATTTTATCACTTTAATTTTGAAAAACAAAACTTTAAAAAGGATTAATGTTCTCTTATCTGTTAAATAAATAAATATCTTGGGAGTTAATAGTTTAAAAATTATGATTTCAAAAGTAGTTTTCTATTAAGAGAAGTATACAAATATCTTTTGTTAATCAACAAAAATGTAACCAATTTTAATTTAAAAATATTTTGTCTACATTTCTTGCAATAACTAAAGTAGAATTATTGAAAGAAATTTAGACACACTAACCATGAGCTATCCAACAAGAGCATCTAAGACAGTAACAGTTGTGTCTGTCATTTTATTTCACATATAAATTGTATTTTCTCACATTTTTTGGATATTATCAAACCGTAGAAATCCTTTCCTCACTCTTTAGACATATGTCTGTAGTAGATGTTGATAAAAGAGCATGGTAAAAGCATTTAATTATTAAGTAAAAACTTACCTAGGTCTACTCCAACGTCCAAGAGGTTTTTCTATTTTTCCTCCTTTGTTTAACATATTCCTATAGTTGTTTACTTTATTTGCCACAGCTTCTTCGCTAAAACTATACAATAAATGAACCATAACTTCTTAAATTCCAATCAATAATGCAATAATTATTTACCCTTGTTCTTCTAAAATATCAGCAAATTCAGCACATTTCAGTTCTATTTTTCTTTTACGCTCATGGTCCAAAATTTCTTTATTCGGTTGGCGATTACTTGCTGTATCTAGAGCACCCAGTTCCTCTTCAGTTCTGTACGCTTTCGATTTCTCTGCAGGTCTCACCGATGCCCAATTCCTTTGAACATAACCATTTGTACCAGACCCACGAGGGGTTTGTAATCCTATTCCATTATACATTATGCTAAAATAGATAACAAAAGTAAGTAGTCCAGTAATTAACAATACACTAAAACACACATGCCAGTTGAAAATTACTGCAAGAGGGTATCGATTTTGTTCAAAAAATTATTAGTTCCAAATATTGTACACAAACTTACTTAATAAATTAGGGGTTTAATTCTAATTTGGATAGAAAAAAAGTAACGTGAAGACGCTTTTCTTCATATGATCTCCAATAATTAAAGTCGGTTCATTAAAATAAACAATTTCAGTAGATTTCTAGAAAAAATTAAAAGTCTATTAGGATTTGCTAAAAAGAGGATTTGCGTTTGAAAGTGATTGTCAATCACGATTGTCAATAATGTCAAATTGTCCAAATTGACATTATTCTTCTTCTTTAAAATAGTTATCTCCTTTTTGCTGCTAAGGCCATCTAAGGCATTGCCGAATATGACCAAAGTTTACAGAATATAATATACGTTTACAGAACGTATTCAAACTTTATAGAGAATATATTCTGTAATACCGTAGTTATGGTAATACGTGTTCTGTGTTATATTTTGGTACGGCGACAGCAGGGCTAGGCTAGTCCACGGATAATCTCTGTACTGGGCATAATTTGTTTACACGGAATTCGAACCGCGGTCCTTGGCCATAACATTCTAATCAATGATATCTAAATAAATAAATTTAAAAGATTAAAATTTAGACCATTTTTGGTACATTTTTTTGTACGTAAACTCTTGCGTAACTCCACAACTGTACAAGTCCACGTAAAAAAAACATAAAATACACATATAACATTTGTTAATTGGACTTGGTCACTTTCTCTTGTATAGCCACCGATATATTTAAGAAATACATACCTAATATAATATTATTGTATTTTGTAAAATAAATAGAAAATGATTAATTTCAAATAAAACAATTTGGCGCACAATTTACTTTAGTATAGGCGACTAAATATACATCAATATAATTTTGGTTTTAGGCAACTATAAGTGCACTGAACGTGTATATAGAGTTGCTCGTATAGAGTTTATATTTTTTAATTTAATTTTTCACATTTTTTTAAATATTATAATTAAAATATTTGTTAATTACAAATACAACTAACAACGTAGCCATGCTTTTCCTTCTATTACTATCAAAAAAGTTCTCTATACGAAGATTTCTATATATTTTATAATATTTTATGTACCCTATCAGTTCACTGATTTTAAAGTTATAGAAATAATATTATAGTTTTTAATCAAGCTTGTTAGTGAATAAATAATTAATTATTTCTTTATTTTTTTTTTAAAGAAGCAATATTTTCTAGAAGAGTAGCCAGAAGACTTATTTACCTTAACAGAGACATCAGCATGTCCATGAACACCTTGGATTTTAATATATTTTTTTATATTAGGTACTCTCTGTTAATAAAATATAATATGTAAATAAATAATAATTAATAATTAATGAGTTGAACAAATAGAAAAGGTTAATTATCAGAAAAATAATATAGGTCCACAGGTCCGAATTTACCTGGACATGTCCGCGCATTTTTAAAGTGTCCGGGGACTCCGGGGCGGTCCGGCCCGGATTTGAAAAAGCGTCCAGGAAACCTGACCGCAAAAAACAATTTAACTTGGTAAAATATTTTACAGTTACAGTTGATGTCTCTGTTACTTTGTTGAATATTTTGGGCTCTACGATGCTAAAGCTCTATTTAACCGACGCATGTTCGAAAGTACCCATTTCTATACTTTGGCGCTCAAATTTTTCGCTTTTGGTGTACTCCTGGAAAGTGAATGTTTTTTTGGTCTATATTTTGTTGATTTCGGGACTATTATTTGTGTCCTATAAAAGTTCATAAATAAAATTTATAGTTTTATTTTTTGCAACGCGACGTCCGGATTTTGTCAAGATTTCTGAGTTCACTTGTCCGGAATTTCCAAAAGCCTTTATGAAAACCCTACCTAATACCCTTGTTTATATATTCATATACAAGGCTAATACTAAATAAGTTGTTCTGAGATAGACGGTATTTTATACCGGGTGCGTCTCAAACGTGGCCCACCCCCTATAACTTTTTTATTTTTTCAGATAAAAAAACGAGATTTGGTATGTTAGTATATGTGTAGTATAATCAACACATATTGACACATATCATATGTCAACTTTTGACATTTTTGCTTAATTAAAAATCGTATTTTAAATTTCAATCTAGAGTGCCATATGGATATGTTAAAAACACTAATTTTGAATCAAGGAGCTTTGGAAAAATAGATTTAATCGTCTAATGTTTTTAGTGTCTTGTCCTGGATGGTTAAAAGATACTCAAATCTTATTTTTTTTATCATATCTTAATTTTTTCAAATGGAATGAGGGTGGCTCATTAGCACATTTGGAAAAAGCATTTTTTTACAAATAATTTGATAACACACATTTGGTATTTCGAGTCATATTTTCGTTATGAACCGCATGTAATTTCAAATAAACCATATGCAAAATGTCAAAACTTGACATATGATCTGTCATTCTCTTCAGAATGTTATTTTCTATCGAATAAAGTAAAAAAATACCGAGGGCGCCATTTAAAAATCAAAAGTTGTAGTCATTTCCGGTGAAACAGGAAGTGACCGAAAACAATTGAATACGTCAATCAATCCTTATAATTTATATCATATACCAACAAACCAAATCTAATTTTTTAACTGAAAAAATAAAAAAGTTATAGGGGTGAGCCACTTTTGAGACGCAACCTGGTATAAGAGAAATGCCTAAATTTACCTCCTTGCTTTTATGAACTGATACAATACCCTGACACAAAATAGAAATCAACTATTGATTGTTGATTTCTATTTTGTGACCCTGATATTTCAACTTCTAACTTCTAAACAAAAAAATCACTAAAATTAGTCTATAATATCAGCATCAAGTTTTCCACTAGTTTAAGTTTTTCTAGTTTTTATGTACAGCACCGGATCTACAATTTTTTTGAACCGCGGTAGAAATCTGATATGTAGTGCACGGTGCACTTAATTCTCCAACGTTTGAAATAAATTACTTAAAAAAGCATATTATATTATGATTTTGGCGGCCCCTGAAACTGCAGCCAGGGGCGCGGGCGGTTGCCACGCCTCTATATACCCCCTAGATCCGAGGCTGTTTATGTAACGGGCAAAGACAACAGCCCCATGAAAATTTGTCCTGGGGACTTTGCCTACAGGCCAAATCTTCAGGTGTATGGAAGGCTGTAGTAACAGGATATATTCTTTTGAAATAATTAAGGTTAATTAGAAGTTACAATTTTATGGTTTGGGTGTTTAATGCCGTATACAGGGTGAGTTTTTTTCCTACTATGTTCTCTATGGGTATCTCGGAAACTCCTGGAGATAGAGAGTCGGTTAAATGGGGAAAGAATTGCAGCTTTGTGGGGTTATAAACATGCGCCTTTCAGATTTTTGAAAAAGTTCATGGCTTACTAGATATTTTGAAAAATACAAATTTCGGCTATTTTAAAAATTGTCCCTAATTCCATTATAATCTATTTTAGACAAAAAGTTTTCAGATAAAAGTTGTAGATAATCACATTCTTAATGACATTGTGTCCTCCGTTTTTTTAAAGCCTGTCATTTTTGACATATGACACAAACATATGTTTTTTTTAAATGGAAACCATAGTTTGCCATGACTTCATAAAAAGCGCCATTTTTTAAGCTTTTTAGCGATATAAGCTATAATATGTTTCTTTCGAAAAATTACTGAGTTATAGCCAATTCTTATAATTTTTAAACAATTTCACTTAGTTAGCCATGCCATGGAAACAAGTTCAATTGTCGTTGCTCTCGGAGATGTGAAACTGTCACATCCAAATTTTATAAATTAACATAAACAAAAATTGTAAATATGAATTTTTCAAATGAAGAAAAGCGCGTCGTATTATTGGTTTAACTTTTCTTGGCCATACATTTTCGAGGATACGTGATACGTTGACCGGTGAACGTTACTTACGTTTTTTAGAAAAGTTAAATTTAGATACTTGCGCATCAATAGAGTGGTTCTAACATGACTATCATTATGATACTCCCCCGCATAATGAAAGAAACGTTAAAAATTATATATATCATAATTATGCAAACTCAGGGATAGGAAGAGGTGGACCAATTGCATGGGCCTCCTCCATCACCTGACCTATCCATTTTTGATTTTTTTAGACGGTATGGTTAACAGTAAGGGTTACAAAAGAACTTATGAATTAAGAGAGGCACTCGAAGAGGCGGTACGGGAGAAGTTTATTAAAGTCGACCGGCCGTAGTCAACCGTTCTGTGGAAATTCATAAGTTCGCTTGTAACCCTTATTAATGGATAGGTCACGTGATCGAGGAGTATAAATAATTTTTAACATTTCTTTTATTATTAGGGGGAGTGTCATAATGAAAGTCATGTTGGAACCATTCTATTGAAGCGCAAGTATCTATATTTAACTTTTCTAAAAAACGTAAGTAACGTTCACCGGTCAACGTATCCTCGAAAATGTATGGCCAAGTAAAGTTAAACCAATAATACTACGCGCTTTTCTTCATTTGAAAAATTCATATTTACAATTTTTGTTTATTTTAAATTATAAAGTTTGGATGTGACAGTTTCACATTTCTGATTGAACTTGTTTCCATGGCTAACTAAGTGAAATTTTTTAAAAAATAAAAGAATTGGCTATAACTCAGTAATTTTATGCAAGAAACATAGTATAGCTTATATCGCTAAAAAGCTTAAAAAATGGCGCTTTTTATGAAGTGATGGTCAACTATGGTTTCCATTTAAAAAAAAACATATGTTTGTGTCATATGTCAAAAATGACAGGCTTTAGAAAAAAACGGAGGACACAATGTCATTAAGAATGTGATTATCTACAACTTTTATCTGAAAACTTTTTGTCTAAAATAGATTATAATGGAATTAGGGACAATTTTTGAAATAGCCGAAATTTGTATTTTTCAAAATATCTAGTAAGCCATGAACTTTTTCAAAAATCTGAAAGGCGCATGTTTATGACCCCACAAAACTGCAATTCTTTCCCCATTTAAGCGACTCTCTATCTCCAGTAGTTTCCGAGATACCCATAGAGAACATCGTAACAAACTCACCCTGTATATATAATAAGAATAAAGTTTTTTTTATTCAGTTTTAATTTAAAAATAGATGCATTCTTAAATTAGTTAAAAACTGCTTGTCCAAAATGGTTCAAATTTAACGTGCATATTCAGCATATGCATACCTTTAAAAAACCTATTTGCGACTGAGCTGTAAAATCAAAAGAGAGCCAATATTTGGACAGTTCAAAATTAGCATGAGATTTCCTA